AGTGGTGGTAACTGGGTCGAGCTACCTCGCTGGCAGTCACCCGAGTCTTCAACGGTACACGTCAACGCTATCACAATGAAACGGGTTGTCGCCGCTGGAGCTGACGTGTACGCAGTAGATATAGCATTAGTAGGCGAAGCGGAGCAGCCGAACGATTTTCAGAAACTGTTGGCAGCAGTACCGCCCGAACTACAGGAACTGTTGAAACGGTACCCGTGGATTTTTCCAGACGACTTACCGGAAGGGCTGCCACCTCAGCGGGCGCATGATCATAGGATCGAGTTAGAACCGGGGGCACAGCCAACTGTACAGCGCCAGTTCCGACTGACACAGCCCGAGCTCGACGAACTAAGGAAGCAGTTAGATTATTTGTTAGAGAAGCAGTTTATTCGACCAAGTTCGTCACCGTTCGCCGCACCGATACTGTTCACACCGAAAAAAGACGGAGGATTTCGCATGTGCATCGATTACCGAGCGCTCAACAGGGTAACAGTCAAGTCGCGGTACCCCATTCCCCGCGCTGACGAACTGATCGACCAACTGCGAACAGCACGGGTGTTTTCGAAAATAGACTTACGGGGGGGTTACCATCAGATTCGGGTCGAACCATCGGACTGCGCCAAGACAGCATTTAGGACTAGGTACGGGTCGTTTGAGTACACGGTGATGCCTTTCGGGCTGACCAACGCGCCCGCAACATTTCAGATGACCATGAACGAGGCGTTTAGGCCACTCTTAGATAAATGCGTGATAGTTTACCTCGACGACATCCTCGTCTACAGTCGCGACAAGCAGCAGCACTTAGCGGATCTCGAAGCAGTATTTAAAGTTTTAGAGGAACATCGGTTACTCACCAAGGGCTCTAAGTGCGAGTTTTTTCGGGACAGACTAGAATTTTTGGGGCACGTTATTTCGGAGGCTGGAGTTGAAATCGACCCAAAGAAGCTGGATACGGTAAAAGCGTGGCGTCCCCCGACGAACATCACGGAACTGCAGAGTTTTTTAGGGTTCGTTAATTACGTTCGTCGGTTCGTCCCCGACATGGCACAGTTGACTGCCCCGCTGACGGATTTACTGCGAAAGGGGGTCGTTTTTACGTGGGGGGAGAAAGAGCATGCTGCCTTCTCTGCCCTGAAAAATGTTCTCTGTTCACCGCCCGTCCTGCGCATCGCCGACCCACACCGCCCCTTCGAGGTTGTTAGAGACGCAAGCGACATCGCCATTGGAGCCGTACTGCTACAGGACTTCGGCAACGGCCTACAGCCCATCGCATACGAGTCACGAAAACTGCATCCGCCCGAGCGAAATTACCCGATACACGACCGCGAAATGCTCGCGATCGTGCATGCGTTCAAAGTGTGGCGCTGCTACTTGACCGGCGCAGACGTGACAGTACGGACAGACCACCGATCACTACAGTACCTCCGCGCACAGCCCCACCTCAACCCACGACAGATTCGGTGGCTCGATTTCCTCGAGTCAAACTTCCACTACACAGTCACCTATAAAAAAGGAGCCTCGAACATCGCCGACGCACTGACCCGCCCCACTGCCCAGATCCACGCGATACTACTCGCCCAGACCAGCCCGCTACTGACAGGACTATTTACCCACGGATATCAAACGGACCCATTCTTCACAGGAGGAAATTCGCAGCAGTTCGCAGCAGCCAAGGGAGTCTATTACGTAAAAGCCGGGACCGACCGCATCTGGGTACCAGGGTACACACTGCTACGGGAATTACTATTACAAGAGGCACACGACGGGGTTACCTCGGGACATTTCGGGGTAGAGAAAACACGGCAGCAGCTGCAGCGGTATTACTACTGGCCCGAAATGTTGACCGACGTGCAGCGACACGTGGCATCGTGTCCCACTTGCCAGATTATGAAGTCAACACGGAAGCGGCCGGCGGGACATTTGCAGCCAATCCCACCTCCAGAGCGTGCTTGGCAGCAAGTGACGATGGACTTCGTCACGGGGTTACCGGCCGGGGCGAGTGGAAATGACGCGATCCTGGTCGTCGTCGATCGACTGACGAAAATGGCACACTTCGCAACCTGCAAAAAATCAATCACAGCCGAAGAAACAGCCCGCCTCTTCATCTCTACCGTCGTTCGACTGCACGGGATACCAGCATCGATCATCAGCGACAGAGACACGAAATTCACCAGCAACTTCTGGCGGAACCTGTGGCAGCAGTTCGGCACGCGACTACAGTTTAGTTCATCGTACCACCCCGAAACAGACGGACAGACAGAACGGACAAATCAGACCATGGAACAGCTCATCCGGGCCACGTGCGACGACCCAAACACGTGGGAACAGCAACTGCCACTCATCGAATTCGCATACAACAACGCCCCATCCGCCACGACCCAACAGTCACCGTTTTACCTGAATTACGGACAAGACCCAACAGTACCCATGACCCCGAATCCCGACAACCCGGTTCCACGCGCGCAACAGTTCGCCGAAATCTTGCAAGCAGCACGGACCAGGGTAGCGGACGCAATTAAAAACGCTAACATCATCGCTAAACGCAACGCCGACCGCCACCGCAGACCTGTCATTTACCAGCCCGACGACTTAGTTTTGCTCGACACCCAAAATCTCCGACTGCCCATCACCCCGAAACTCCGCCCCCGATACTGCGGGCCATTTCGTATAAGCCACATGCTTACACCTGTCACCGCCCACCTCCTCCTCCCTGCTGACTGGTACGTCAGCCCCTCGTTCCACGTCAGCCTGCTTCGCCCTTACGTCTCGTCCACGAGCCAACTGCCACGCAATCGCCCAGCCAGCATGACCAGACCACCGACTGAACCAATCATCACCCCCGAGAAAATCCTGAGTCACAGAGTTCGCGACCCTCGAGGAGCCCGAAGGATCGAGTTCTTACTCCGCTGGAAGGACCGTACACCCACCGAAGACAATTGGGTTCCCCTGGACAGAATCGAAAACCACCCCGTCCTCACCGAGTATCTGCGCAGCCGGAATTTCAGGGATGTACACGCACTTTCGTAAGGAGGACCTCCTTAAGGGGGGGGGTAGTGTAAGGAAAATCTCCTTTTCCTTACCTCGCGTCCCTGCTCAAACGCGTACATCACTGTAGCACCACAGTCAGCACCGTTACCACTCGCAATCCTCGCATCGACAATCCGCCCGCCACTCTCGCACGTCGCACCCCGACCTCACGGCTCGGCGGGTAACCCGCGCTCCGGGCCTCCGCTTCGACACTTTTCCCAACCTCAGTCCCAGGCCCGTCGCGCGACAACCACAGTCCATTACCGTTACCACTGTAGTTTCGCTATATATTCTTCGCTCATGCCTTCGCTCATTGTACTCTTGCTTCGATAGTGCAATTCTCGTTCGTTCACTCAATTGCACTCGTAACACTCACACTCCACTCTCACTTCAGGACGCGGTAAAAGTGGAGAATCGATCGCCTCAGGTTCGTTTTTTAGCACGGTTATAAACGGTTGTGTATCTTTTGTATACAAAACGCAGGGTTTCAGTGCGGTGACCGGATCGATTTCCCCCCGACCGAGCACTTATACCGCGTCCTCAGTTGCGGTGTTGGTTGTAACAGCGGGTCTGGGCTTTCTGTCAGGATGGGATAAGCGGTAGCCAAAAGTCAAAATTCTCTCATCAACCAACAGGGGAAGCGCGAACCAGTTCGAGGGATTCAAAATTATGCTAGAGCTTGGACAAGCATGAATCTCTGCACCAGTGTCGCCGACCGAGCCTGCATTCCTGCGACTTTTCATTCGGCTTGTTCGTCCACCGAGTTCCGCCTGGCACGATGATGACTTTCGAGTTGGTGCCGTCGTTTGAGTGCCCCTGGGATGATATAAGTTAGGCTGTAGCTACTTAGTTAAGTACAGGGTTCACCACAGCCCGTCAGAATCATCGAGCTCGTCGCGGCCCCGTGCGGTATTCCATCATCCTCCATCCACTCGACCGTTCCGCTTTTATAAAAGCAGCTCTTCAGCTCTTCCGTGCATTCAGCTTTGCATCCTCGTCCTCCATTTTGCCGGGCCAGTTGGCCTCACGCGCCATGTGCGGGCCTGGTGCGAGACGACTCGCGTCCATTCTCCCCCGCGTTTGGGTTCGGCGCCTCGATATGGGGTAGGCGACAAAACGACGACGATGTTGATGTTGATGCTGCCATTGCCGCTCCCCGCTCCTCCTGCGTCGTCTGCTCCTTCCCCGTGCCTCCCTTCTCGCCTCGTCCATTTAATTCTCTTCAAACTTTTCCCTCTCTTCCTCCTCTCCGCCTCTCCTCGCCTCTGCTTCTGCTCCTACTGATGCATTCCGTTCCACCTCTTGTGGCTCTTCCCGAATATCCCGTCCTCCCACTCCCCCTCTCGCCCTCCGTCCGCATCTGTACCCTGGGATCCTCGTTGCTGGCTTGCTTGTGTGTTTGCTTTCTCGCGCTGCTCGCGTGCTCACATGCGTGCCTGAGCTCTGCACGCCATCCTTCCATCCAACCTTCCATCCATCCATCCACCCATCCATCCATCCACCCATCCATCCATCCAGCCATCCATCCATCCATCCATCCATCCATCCATCCATCCATCCATCCATCCATCCACCCACCCACCCACCCACCCACCCACCCACCCACCCACCCACCCACCCACCCACCCACCCACCCACCCACCCACCCACCCACCCACCCACCCACCCACCCACCCACCCACCCACCCACCCACCCACCCACCCACCCACCCACCCACCCACCCACCCACCCACCCACCCACCCACCCACCCACCCACCCACCCACCCACCCACCCACCCACCCACCCACCCACCCACCCACCCACCCACCCACCCACCCACCCACCCACCCATCCATCCATCCATCCATCCATCCATCCATCCATCCATCCATCCATCCATCCATCCATCCATCCATCCATCCATCCATCCATCCATCCATCCATCCATCCATCCATCCATCCATCCATCCATCCATGCACCCCTGTCCCAGGTGGGAGTGGGCAATGCTGCGCCTGGAGCTCTTTCTCGACTCCACCGTCAAGGTCTTGGGTCCACTCTACGTCCTCATCGCCCTCGTCCTCATCCTGTCAGTCAGTCTTCTTCTGCCTTCCTGCCCATGCCTCCTGGTTTTGAGTCCCCCCCTTCTCCCATCTACGCCCTGCCACCTCCAACGCTGTTTTCCAAGCCTGTGTAAACCTCCTGGCGTTTCTCACTCCTTCTCAGCACCAAACTGAGCATAACGAATGAATCTTCTGAAAGTTTCTCCCCTTCGACTTCCTCTCACCCTGTTCCCCCTTCCCCCTCCCTTCACCACCATTCCCCCTCCCCTCTTCTTCCTCCTCTTCTTACTTCCTCCTCTCTCCCCCCTCTCCTCCCCTTGCCAGCGCCATCATGGTACCTCACATTCTCACTGCTGCACCCCATGGCATGACCCTTTTTCTTTCTAGTACACTCAACCCGAAACTCCTCCCCACTTTCCTCCCTCCCCCTGCCAGCGCCATCGTATACCTGGCCTTCTCGCTGCTGCTGCCCATGGCATATCCCCTGCACACCCCAGCGGGCATGCTGCATTCCCTGGCAGCAGCATGGGTGTCGTTCAACATTCTCTTCAACTTCTATTGCGCCGCCACCAGAAACCCGGGCTCGCCTCCTCCCCTTGCGGTGAGACACGCTGCTCTGATCTGAGTGGGTGGGTGAGAGCAGTGTGGGTAGGAGAGAGAGAGAGAGAGAGAGAGAGAGAGAGAGAGAGAGAGAGAGAGAGAGAGAGAGAGAGAGAGAGAGAGAGAGAGAAGGCCTTAGCATCCAGCCCTCTCCCTCTTCCCTCTGCCCTCCCCCTCTGAGCCTATTTAAGGGGCCCTCCGTGTCTTCCCTGCCTCATTATTTCGTGGGTGTTTCATTTTCGGCGGCTCGCGCCGGCGGCCTTCGGCCGCCGCCGCTCGCAAGCGCGGCCTTCGGCCGCGCGTTCCTGGTGGCAAGACACAAAACGTGGGTTCGGCTTATAAAGGGCACACACACACACAAAGGCAAGGAGCTGGGCAAGAGCAAGAGGCGCGGCATGCAATTCTACACGCGGCGGAGGCCTACATCGTGTACGGCTCCGCCCCCTCCACCTCAAGCATCGAGCGCATGTACGCCGATACCGCAAGGAGGAGATGCGCCGACGACTGGAGCGTGTCCAAGGGGGTCCCGCCATGAGCAGCCCCAACAAGATCCCCCACGTGGCGGGGGAAAGTACGGGCTAAGGGAGCTACCCCGGCGGGCGCATCCGACACGGGTGCCAACGGCGACTCGAGCGATTCTGCCAAAGTCACGCAGGATCCTCGGGATCCTGGACCGAAACTGCTCGGAAAGTTCCGCGTGGCCCCACACACCGCCATCTGCAAGTTCGCCACCACCTCGCACGCCTCCGCCAGATTCAGAACCCGGCACATGGTCAGCATGGGGTCTCTCCCCGCGCGAGTGGGGGGAGGTGCAGTCGGTGCTTCGCGCGGAAACGCCGTCGGCCAGCCAGGAGTCCGGCCAACAGACAAGCGCGGCGCGGAGAAGCCGGGGACCTGACGAGGGGTGCGGAACTCAGGCCTCCCCACCCGCGCGGGCAGATATTCGCTCAGCGTCGGCGCGCGCAGGGGAGTCACCTGGCCGGGGTCCGCGGCGTAGGGGGGACCGTTGGTCACCTCAATGTGGACGTGAGTCGGCCCCCCGCTCGCCCGGGCCTGCCTCACCACCTCCACAAACGTGTTCGCGGCGCGGTCGAGGGCAGGATCCTGCTTGCGACCATTACCGCCACGCCCTCCGCCATTGCGCCGGCCCCGCCGGCCCGCTGAACCTGCCGAGTGCGGACGCGGGGGGGTCTGCTCGCGGCGACCCGAATCCCAGCGATGCCCAGACGACCCCCTCCCCCGCGTCGCCGGAGATCGCCGCGGAGAGCGTTGCTCGGGGGATCGCGCTCGGGGTGAGCGCTGGCCTGCCCGGCCACGAGGAGATGGGCGGCGAGGAGAGCGATGGCCTGCAGGGGACAGCTGATCGCCAGCGCCGTCCCGCTGATCCTCGTGATGCTCTGGGGAGCGGCGGCGAGGAGATTGCTGCCGCGGCTGCTGACGCGGCGGCGACCGCCCGCGTTCCTGACGCGGCTGATCAGCAGGTCGGTTCGATGCAATCTGAGCGGGGACCCACGAGTACTCCGGCTGGTGGGGCTGAGGAGCGCGTCGAAGAGGAAGAGACAGCCCGCGCTCCAGGCGAGGGACAGGCTCAGACGCCGAGGGGCGCGCAGCAGCGTGAGGACGGGGAGCAGCGGGTCCCTGAGCTCGGGGCGGGTCAAGACGTGCGCTCTCCGCAGTACTCTCCTGCGCGCGGTCGCGACCCGCGGTTGGGTCCATTACGCCGGAGCACGGAGCCACGGACGCCAGCAGGCCGCCAAAGGCGGGGCCGTGGATCTACCTCCGCGCCTCAGCCAGCACGCCGCGGCGCAGCGGCAGGCACGACGCCGCGGGGAAGCCGCGTGGCTGGAGGTGGGAGACGAGGCGGACGCAGAGGAGGCGTCACAGTTCAGCGACGGGGGGCTAGTAGCTTCGCGAGGGCCGCTCACCGGATCCTGCGGGGGAGGGCTGGAGATGGAGAAAACTCGAGTGATGAAAACTCCGTGGGTGACCCATTATTTAACCCTGAAAGAGAGGGGAGTTCTAGTCCCTCTCCTCAGGTGGACGAGGCAGAGCAGCACGAGGAGTTGGATCGAAACCCAACACATAGCCGAGGCGCATCTGCAATTCGAAATGGGAGGCAGAATGGGGTCGGGGGGGGAAACCGAGCCGCACAAATTGCAGACAACACCCCCACCCAGGCCAGTCAGCAGGGTGCAGAGGCATCCACCCGCCAACCCCTCTTCAGCGCTGGCGACCTGGCAAATCGCCAAGATCTTTTCGCCGACGTCGCAACATGGGACCTCAACCCCCTCCGCGACAGCAGGCAACCCCCGCTCGCTCGCCACCCTCCCCGCACACTTCGCGAGTCTTTCGCGGCCTGCCTCCTCACCCCGTTGTTACATCTGGCGCGAGACCCTGACTCACCTGCGGGCTGGAGACTGCTCATGTTCCTCCCGCGCATCCTGTTACGCACCTCGTCAGCCATGCGCCCTGATTGGCCGAAAGTTGGAGCCAGGCTGGTCCAGTTTCGCCAGGGACTTTGGCGTGGTCTGTATGACGAGGCAGCTGACGCAGTTTCACATCCACCCCAGCCACGTCACGCGCCAGACACCTCCGGCATCCTGGCTCAAGCTGAGGGATTAGCCAAAAGAGGGAACTTGGCCAAATCCCTCCAATCACTTACCGCCACGCCTGTCTCAACACCATCAAGTGATGTGCTAGCAGCGCTATCAGCTAGGCACCCCCCTGCGCGCCAAGCCATCCCAGACTGGGTGCGTGACTACACTACAGACAGCCCTCCATCCATCTCCCCTCGCCACTTCAGGTGCATCCTCGCCAAATGCCCAAACGGTGTGGGCGCCGGTCCCTCAGGCACCACTTTCGAACACCTAAGGGATGCAGCCTTAGGGAACGCAGACATATTCCGCCACCTGCATGCCCTCACAAACACAGCGCTGGCGGGGAAACTGAATGCTGAGGCGGCCGAGCTCCTAACAGCTTCTCGACTTCTAGCCTTCTCAAAGCCGCAGGGGGGTACTAGGCCAATCGCGGTAGGCGAATGCCTTTTACGGCTCGTCGCCAAGGCAGCCCTATTTCTGGCGGCGGAGAAGGCGCGGGACCACTTCGCGCCGCTGCAATTCGGCGTGGCCATCGCCGGAGGCACCGAAGCAGCGGTACACACCGCGAGAACATACCTGGAAGAGAACGAAAGGGCGGTGGCGCTGCAAATTGACCTGGCGAATGCTTTCAATGCGGTGGAGCGGGCGGCGGTGTTTGAGGGCCTTCAGGGGAACGCCCTGGAATCCCTGGTGCCCCTGGTGCGACTGTCCTACGGGTGTCCCTCGTCGCTTCACCTAGACCATGCGTTCCAAGCACCCCCACTGCAGTCCGCGCGAGGCGTTCGCCAAGGGGATCCGCTTGGTCCCCTTCTCTTCGCTGCGAGCATCCACCCGTGCCTGGCTGCGGCGGCGGAGGCGCACCCAGAGGTCGTCATCCTCGCATACGCGGACGACATCACCATCCTGGGAGAAGTAGCGGCGTGCTCGGAGGCGTTCACTTACCTCACCAGCGCCCTACACTCCCTGGGCCTCGAACACAACCCCGAGAAGTGCGCGGCGTGGTCGGCTGCTCCCGTGGAGGCTTCCACTCTGCCTCGGCACGTACCTTACTCCGCGGGCGGAATCCGCGTCTTGGGAAGCCCAATCGGCCCACAACCTGGATGCGCTGAGATGGTACAGGAGCGCCTCTCAGCAGCCGCAGAACCTCTTCCGCTTCTGTCTCAAATGGACCCGCAGCTCTGCCTGCTGCTCCTCACTCGGTGCGTGAGCCGGCGTGCCTCTTACCTCGTCAGAACCACGCCCTTGGATGTGCTGCCGGAGGAGTCCTGGTCGGCATGGGGGGAACAGCTGCTGCACACCTACTTGACGGCCGCTCACACTGCGGTACCACGGGAAGAGGCAGAGCGGGGGAGAGTCTGGCGGCAAGCAGCCCTGCCCGTGACGCTGGGCGGCCTCGGCATCACCAACCCAGCGACGGAAGGGGCATTTGCGTACCTGGCCTCGGTCATCTCCTCCGCCCATCTGCTGCGCTCGTTCGGTGACGCGCTGCACCCTGCTGTCGCTGATTTGCTGCTGCTGATGGATGCAGACGGGAACTCACGATCTTCCCTACCACGACGCCTCGCAGTGGCTGAAGCAGCGCTGCCCCCAGACGGACTAGAGGCACTCCAGGTCGGCCGGCGTGACCCAGAAGGCCCGAAGCTGCAGCAGGCTCTGTCGCTGGCCGTCCACACCGCCAGGTACATAGAGCTGCTGGATGACTCTCGGGAGATGCCGCTGAACCCGCTCTCCAGCCACACCCAGCGCCTCCAGTCCCTCCTCGGCCCCGGGGCAGGAGATTGGCTGCTCGCCCTTCCCCTGATCCCAGCCCTCCGCCTGGGCCCCTCTCAGCATTCCACCGCGGCCTCCTTCCGCCTAGGCCTCCCCCTGCCTGTCCCGCGGCGCTGCGATTGCCGCTACCGCACTACCTTCCCTGACCACAGGCTCCCCAACCACCTCATGAGGTGCGAAAAGGGAGGAGGGAGGATCTCTACCCACCATGCTCTCCGCGACGAGTGTGCGAAGATTGCAGCTGAGGCGGGCTTCACGGTGCACAAGGAATCTACTGTGTACTCACCGGTCGAAAACCTGAAAGCGGATGTTTGCATCCGCCATCCCGACACCGGCGAGGTACACATGTGCGACATCACCGTGACGGACCCGGTCTCCCACCAGGATGAGTTTGCGCGGAAGGCGCCAGGGTGGGCTGCACGGATGCAAGCCGCAAGGAAGGAGTACAAATACGCGAGGCGGAATGACTGGGTGGGCTTCCACGCCATGGCAGTAGAGACGTATGGCTATCCCTCCCCTGGAGTGCACGCCTTTCTCCGCAGCTGCGCCGAGCTTGCAGGCAAGCGGCGGTTCAACGCAGCTCCGAAGTCCAGGGAGGTGGCCAAGCTCCTCACGGAGTACCGGCAGCGCTGGA